CTCCCGGTTCGCTGAGGGGACACACCCAAGATGGCGGCGTGGCCGCTCCCCCTCAGCGCCCCCCACAAAATGGCCGCCTCCTGCAGGACCCCTTCCCGCCCTTTTAAGGCCACGCCCCCCGGCGCCTTTTAAGGACAGGCCACGCCCTCAAAATCCCTTTAAAGGTCAGGCCGCGCCCCCGGTGGCTCCGCCCACCTCCCCCCTCAGAACCCCCGAGCTGCTGGAATTGGGGCGAAACAGGACAAAGTTTGGTCAAAGCGGCCCAAAACTGAGATTTCCCCTCTTTTTAAATCCCTTTTAAAGCTCCTTTCTCCTTAATTCCACTTTTTTTAAACCCGTTTCTCGGGTTCTTTACCGAAAAATTTCCCTCCTTTTAAAGCCAAGCTGAGTTAAAAATAAAGGCAGGAAATCAAGCGGAAAGAGAAATAAGAATTCTATAAAGGGGAAAAAAAATAACAACCCGCTCTCTTTTACCTTGTTCTCTTTGTCACCACTTCCTGCCCTTTCCCCTCATGTTTTTTTACCCACCTTCCCCTCACGAACCTTTATTACATAAAACATATGAATTTAATATACATAAAACAACCACTTTTTTTCTGCAACAAGAACGTGTTCAAAAAAGTTTATAAATCTGTATTTTACTGTACGTTTCAGCTGACTTTCAAAGGGGGAAGGTGGAACAAATGGGTGGGGGGGAACTCCTGAGGTAAAAAACCACTCCTATAAAGCAAAAAACACCCCAAAAACTCACTAGGACCAACGAACAACTATATAAAAACGCGAAAACAATTTTTAGAAGGAGAAATTCCATTCAGAAATACAAATTAGAGGCGCTTTACGAAGGCAGGATCCTCGTGGCGCGACGGTTCCGCCTGAGGGAAGAGAAACGGGGTCAGAGCCGCGACCGTCCCGGACCTTCATCCCCCCCAGACACCCCTGAGCCTTTGTACGACCCCGCAAAATCCGGTGGAGCCCCGAACCCTCCGCTGCTCCCCCGGGTGAAGAAGCCGCCGCTGCTCTGCGACACCGCTAAAACCCCGCTCGCCCGCGGCTGGCGGCGGCGGGGGGAACGCGGGTCGGGATGGAAACACGCGGCCCCCGGCCCGCCCCTCCCGCCGCCACCCCCCTCAGTTACCGACGCAATCGCTGCGCTGGCTCCTCACGGACTGCGGCGTTCGCGCCCTCGCACGCCGGCCCCCCTCAGCAAGGCCACGCCCCCGGGCTTCCCATTGGTCGCCGCCCCACCTCCCGCCAACCCCATTGGTCGCTGCGCTCCTGGGCGTGGCCTAGACACCAAATGCGCCATATAAACTGAAGGGGCGGAGCCATTCAAATGAGAGGGGGAGTGGGCGTGGCCTGTGGGTGTTGATTGACAGCGTCAGGGGTCAAAAATGAAATAAATTTTAAACAAATAAAACAAAATAAAAAATGAAATAAATCCACCTTCATTGCTCCTCAGTCCCTCCAGGTCACCTCCACCTCATCCGTGCGGTACCTGGAGGGGTCAAAGGTCACGGGTGAGGGCTCAGGGCCACACCCCCCTCACCTGTACGCACCTGGCCACGCCCCCTCACCTCTGGGTGATCCCCGATTGGCTGAGCTCGGTCACCTGCCCCGCCCGCAGCATCTCCCACCCGGCCTGGGCGATCATGGCGCCGTTGTCGATGCAGTACCTGGGGGGGGGGCAAGAGGGGCACAGGTGTGTCCCATCCTCCACAGGTGTGCTGTGGTGTGTCCTACCCAGCCCAGGTGTGCCCAGGTGACCCAAAGGGTGCCCAGGTGACCCCCAGGTGTGCCCAGGTGACCCCCAGGTGTGCCCAGGTGTGCCCAGGCGACCCTGAGGTCTGTCCCACCCCCCCAGGTGTGTCCAGGTAACCCCAGGTGTGCCCAGGTGACCCCCCCAGGTGTGCCCAGGTGCCCCCACCTGTCGTCAGTGGGGCAGAGCTCTGCCCCCCGGGCCCTGCACATGGTCTGGAGCATCTCCTGGAGCCGATGGTTACCTGGGGGGGGACCAAAAACATGGGTCTAAACCCCCAGAATTTGGGTCCAAACAACCAAAATCTGGGTCCAAACCCCAAAACCTGGGTTCAAATCCCCAAATCTGTGCCCAACCCCCCGAATTTGGGGTGCCACTCACAGGCCACGCCGCCCACGAGCAGGAGGTGCCGGGCGCGGGTCAGGGCCAGGGCGCGCTCGGTGACCTCGCTCAGCATCGCAAACACCGTCTCCTGGGGACACAGAAACCCCGGGTCACACCCAAAAACCCACAGAACGACCCCAAAAACCCGCAGAACAACCCCAAAAACCCACAAAACGACCTCAAAAACCCCAAACTGCTGCAAAAACTCAGCGAGTGCCCCCAAAACCCCCTTGAACTGCCCCAAAATCCCATTAATTACACC